ATATAGTTTATCTTTTTGCTGAGGAGTTGACAGTTTTCAGAGGAAACTTCTGATATGTAGAATAAGGTACAACTGTGCTTTAAATTATGATTCCTCTAGGAATGGACCCACTTAAATTAGAGTTTGTTAGAAAAACCAAACACAAAAGAATGATACATCATAAACTTCATAAATCTCGTGAGAAGAGCTAGACATGTAGGGTATAACAGAAAGGCTTCTAGGCCCAAGTTCTATTTCCCTTAAATTCTGTGGGTAGTGGGTGACCCTGGTAAACATTTGCTCTGGTCCCATTTCTTCATTCTCCCCAGAAGATAACCCTATCTTTCCTTCCTTCCCCACTTGCAGGACTCCAATTCTTTTCATTTCTTTCCTATCAAAACAGGGAAGAATTTGATTTTAGCTATTTACACTTACTGAATAAAAAGACAGATTGACTGTTTTTCACTTAATAATTCATGAGTTTCATTCTAGGTATTGACCCATAATTTACCAACCTTACAAGGGGAAATTTATATATACATAAGGGATACTTATTCATTTGTTCATTCGTGCATTCATTTGGAGGGGAAGCTCAGGGTACTCTGCAATAATAAAATAATATATCCATGGTTTTCCTTGTCCAAATGAGACGAGTTTCCCCCCGACCCTAGAAAAAGCGGGGGCCCTTGCTTGACTGTGGCTCTGGAGGCCTCTTCCTGGGAATTGCCACAATGGAGAAGACACTATCATGTATCATTAACCTCAGGTTTAGGAGCCCACTCAGCCCTCGGGTTTCTTTATTGTGTCTCTACACGGCTTATCTCTGCCATTTCTCCTCTCCATTTTCGCTGTCCCCAGCTTGATGACTTTCCAGTTCTCCTCTCCTGCCCTGAGCCCAATTCTTTTATTCTCCTGCCTTGCTTCCAAGTTGCTCAAGTACATATTTTATACCTTTTAGCATATTTGAGTTATTTCAATTGTTATCAGTTGATTTTTGTATTTTAACATTTCCCTCTAGCTAATGGTCTGGCCTGTAAATGTGTTTCCATTTTCCCCACCTCTGGTGAGGAAGTTTCTTACAAAGAGGCATGTTGTTGGAAGGTGTCTTCTCTGTTCATGGCATTTTATTATATCTAAGTCAGTGATAACCTAGCATGGTGTGAGCAGCTGTGACCATTTTTTCTTCAATGCTCTTGACATTTTCAGAAATGTATTTAGCTTGTTAGAAAATTATATGTATATAAAACTATATTATAAATACATATATATTTTTAGAACTGTAAGCACTGTAAGGAAAGGATATATAAAATGACCTTAAGATAGAGTTTGTTGGCTTTATATTTGTCTGTGACAATTCTGACTTTTGAAGACATGTTCTAAATTGCTCTTGGCTGTGCAAAATTTTTGACTGAATTTCTTAGTGTGACTTGAAAGCCATCCCTCCTTTTGTAGGATATAAACGCTGGCTCATTGAGCTTCAAGGTATTGTGAGGTTAGAAACCTTCTAGGTTAAGATTGCTTGTTTTTCTTCTACCCTTAACCTGGGGCTGTGGTCAAGATAGAGGTATACATCTTTCATTGTAGCTATCTGATGCTCTGAGCTAACTGTCTCTTTGAGGGACTGTGAAGGGTAGTGGGGACTAGGTCCTCTTCTATTTTTCCACCCTCTTCTGTCCTAGGTCCCAAACTGGCTTTCTGGAACTATGACCCCCTTGAACAGGAAGGGACAAGAATTACCAGAGCCTAATCTCACTGTTGGGAAAAAATGTGGGCCCCTGAAAGGAAAGGACATTGTCCTTAAACATTTCATCTATACCTCACTCATGGTGCTTCATTATTTCTCTAGTTATTTTAAATAAGTTATTTATTTATATTTCTTTAGTTGTTTGTTATTTTTTGTTTCTTTCTTTTTTTTAAAATCTTGATCAGTGTTGTCTATCAGCACATAACATTTTCTGCAGTGATGGAAATGTTATATATCTGTATTGTACATCTTGGTAGCCATTAGCCGCATGTGGCTTTTGAACTCTTGAAATGGGCTAATATGATGGGAGAACTAAATTTTTAATTTATTTAACTTCAATTAATTTAAATTTACATAGCCACGTGTGGCTAGTGGCTGCCATATTGGAGAGTGCAGATCAACTTAAGGACGAGGTTTGTATTTGATTTACTTTTTCCTGTGCTGTTGGAGTATACCAATTTATTTTCATGTTGCTTGGTGAAATAGGTGTGTTCATTAACCATGTTGCTTCCAAAAGTACGTGTGGCTAAGCTGGCTCTATTGTTAGGAATAGCTTTGAGTCTGGAATTGAAGTTGGCTTATAATGGTTAGTATGAAACTGGAATTAGATGACCTGAATTCTATATGCTTTCCTAAAATTTGTTCATAGTGAGTTAAAAAAGTTGAAATAATCTTAACTAAAAATTCCAGATTTACCTTAAAGTTCTATGTCTCAATATTCATGTTCAGGGCTTCCCTGGTGGCGCAGTGGTTGAGAGTCCACCTGCCGATGCAGGGGACACGGGTTCGTGCCCCGGTCTGGGAAGATCCCACATGCCACGGAGCGGCTGGGCCCGTGAGCCATGGCCGCTGAGCCTGCGCGTCCAGAGCCTGTGCTCCGCAACGGGAGAGGCCACAACAGTGAGAGGCCCATGTACCGCAAAAAAAAAAAAAAAAAATTCATGTTCAAGTAGCAAAATAAGATATATTAGTTGAGTTTTGCTTACAATAACCCAAGGATAAGGAAATCTCTGTGATAGAAACAAGGCTGCCTTAATCAGTGCTGGTACATACTTATTTGTACAGTCTTTTCATTTTGGTTCTTTTGAGTGGATTCTTGTCGACAGGGCTTGAACTTGTCGGTAATTGTTGTAGGCATAGTGCATTTTGGATTCATGGGTATTTTTTTATACTTAGAGCACAGCATCACACTGGGGACTAGAAATAGAAGAACTTTTAATTTCAAATTGTTGCAGGTTTCCTTTTTTGGCAAGTCTACTCTTACTCTCATGAAACCTGTGTGCAGGAACGGCTAATTTTCATGTTACCTTGAATATAAGGGCCAAAATATTGTCTACTTGTTTAAGATGGATAAAATATACAAGTATAGTATTCTTTTTTTTTTTGCGGTATGCGGGCCTCTCACTGTTGTGGCCTCTCCCGTTGCGGAGCACAGGCTCCGGATGCGCAGGCTCAGAGGCCATGGCTCACGGGCCCAGCTGCTCCGCGGCATGTGGGATCCTCCCGGACCGGGGCACGAACCCGTGTCCCCTGCATCGGCAGGCGTACTCTCAACCACTGTCCCACCAGGGAAGCCCAAGTATAGTATTCTTAAGTAAGGCAAGGGGCTTTTAGCAGATTTGTAACGACATATCTATGGTAGTGTAATTTGGGTAGCAGAAAAAATTAAATCCTTATTTTTATTTAAAAATTAAATGTCTTTTGGGGATGCTTTTTTTGGAAACATGTTGATATTTAGTAAATTTATAGTCTAGGCTAAATTGAATTTGGGCATTAATGAGCAAAATAGTCATAATGAAGACTTATTTGTTGAAGTTTATTATGAGCAGGACATTCTCAAGATGTCCAGTCCCTGAGTGAGAAACTTACACTGTAGTTGGCCAGGTAGGATCTACACTTAAAAAGATAATTCATAGTATGTGATAGTATGTGTCGTGGGCCAAAACAGTGGCTCAGATGATAAGTTTTGGGAACTTTGAGAGAAGGGTGGTTAGTTTTCTCTTAGGGTGAGTGCAGGAGGTAGGACTTGAACTGGATTTTGAGGAAACTAGAGGGTAGTAGAAAGAGAAAAGGAGAGCATTCCAGGCAAGGAGACCAATCTGAGCAGCGTCTTGGATTAAGAATATGCATGGAGTATTCGAGAATGAGGAATGGACATATTTGTTGGAATGAAGATTCCATATGGGAACTATTAGGAGAGATCAGCCTGGAAGCTAGGGGTGTCATGGTTAGGGCTTTGATTTCTGAGCCAAGGAATTATTCTGAAGGGAGTAAAGAGCCATTAAACATTTTTGAACAGTGAGAGGATATGTGAGAAGTGAGATTTTATAAAGATTAATTTCTAGTGTGGAATATAGGTTGACTGGGCAGGAGAGAGAGAATTAAAACACTAAAGATGTGAGATGAGGAAAGATCTGGACTTTTGTTGCTAAAGTAGGAATAGAAAAGGAAGGGATGACTTAGAGTAGTAGCTTATTTGATATATAATAACTAAATTAATATTTATTTGAACTAAATTAATAGGAAGTTTCATGTCTGAGCAACTGGGAGAAACAAAATGTTTTCAGCCTGGAGGGCTGATTTGAAGGAAAGATGGGTTGAGTTCCAGGTGATGGAAGGACGCATAGATGGGGAGTCCAGCAGGTAGTTGAAGATGGGAAAAACTGATGTTGGGTTTTGGGTTAGGAGCCATCTGTTTTCCATAGTGTTATCATTTAATTCATGACAGCAGATGATCTGCACACTGATGCGTGTATCCTGGAGAAGTAAAGGGGTGGAGAGAAGGAGACGAGCCAGGGTGTTATATAATACAGAAAGTCCAAGGAGAATGAAAATAAGACCACTGGATTTAAGATACTTGAAAATTGAGAGCAAGGTTTGAGTGGAATAGTTGGAATTAGAACTTAGGGTACATGAGCTTTATGACTAAGTAGGTGATAAATAAAACCAGGAAGTGTAGGCCACATATATGTTTTGTTCATGTTGGTTCTTTCAGTGCTTGCTTTTTAATTCTTTTACTTAATGTCCTGGCAGGGAGATAAAAGGAGGTGGAACTCAAAACTGTCCAAATAGTTCCCTGTTACGAGACTGGTTATAGTAACTGGAGGGCATTGGCAGGGTGAAATCACTAGTTATTTGGATTATTATGATTCAGTCGTATACTAACCTTTATTTCCAAAGATAATTGAAACTTGATTGTAACTTTAATGAAAATAAAAATGAGCATTGATGTTACTGAAAATATCTTTACTAAATACTACTTAAAAAAAAATCTCAGTTTCTATGCAGATTTTGGACCTCTGAACTTGGCAATGGTGTACAGATACTGCTGTAAACTAAACAAGAAACTAAAAGTGAGTATTGTGGTGATGTTTATATTTTGGTATTAAAAATTTGAACTGTGAAATCTAACCAGTGGGGTTGCTGTGCATATACCATTTAGTTAGGTAATCTTGATCTTTGGAAATTTAAGTGAGTAGTTCACCTAGAAGTTGAAATTGATCTACCTGATTACCCCACAAAGGACATGTTAACCTCTTTCATTTTTCAGGATCAATGGAAACATGAGCTGAATGAAGTCATTGAAATAGTGATCTAAGAAAGCAAACACAAATCCTTTCAGGTTGTTGTTAATGAGTTTATCAAATTCCCTCCTAGGATGATTTTTCTGAAACCTTCAGGTCCACTTCTGGACACTGTTACCAGGTGATGAAGGGGGCTGGCTCATCATTGCACGGCAGGAGCTCTGGAGCATAAGCTTTTTCTATCTGATCAAGATTGAAATTTTTGTGTATTTCTTGAATGTCACCTCTGTAGAGTTAACAGCCAAGTGAGACTGATCAACTAGCAGCAATAGAGCATGGATTTTACCTGTTATGACAAAATTTGGATCATACATTCACTATTCATCTCTATTTTTTAAATTTTACATGTGGCTTTTTTTCCCTCTTAAATTCTAAGCATATATGAGGAAGAGTGACATCTATATTCCTAGTTTTGGTAAACTTACTTCATCACATAGAAAGAAATATTTATCTTTTTCTCTCAATTTTCTAAATGAGGATCTTAAATGTTTCAGTTTGCAAGGTGAAATCTACACAGCATGCTCTTGAGGATAACCACTAAATTATAATGCTTGGATAGTTTAATCTTTCTGCTGGGTAAAATGTTTCTGGCATGACATAGTGCAGTGCCTTGTATATATTACCTGCTTAATGATATTTTTTGATTTGATTGATTTTTATTGTACTTAGGTATAAAAGACAGTCTATCATGGAGAATTTCCTGTAAAATATGAATTCACAGATTTTTGCCATTGATCTCAAAATGCTAAATGGACATGGAATGATACCAAAGAGAGATTTTTAAAGTCAAAAATCACATAAGATCTGTTGTAATCAACTTTTTAGGGGATTAATTTCTAAAGTAGTGTCTGACTCAGAAATACATAGTATGTACATTCCTTTAACTAAACCTACTTACATTTTTTAAAAATTTTATTTTTTATTCATACTAAATTTTTAAATTTCATTTTCTGTTTTTTTCAACATCTTTATTGGAGTATAATTGCTTTACAATGGTGTGTTAGTTTCTGCTTCATAACAAAGTGAATCAGCTATACATATACATATCTCCCCATATCTCCTCCCTCTTGCGTCTCCCTCCCACCCTCCCTATCCCACCCCTCTAGGTGGTCACAAAGCACCGAGCTGATCTCCCTGTGCTATGCGGCTGCTTCCCACTAGCTATCTGTTTTACGTTTGGTAGTGTATATATGTCCATGCCACTCTCTCACTTTGTCCCAGCTTACCCTTCCCCTTCCCTGTGTCCTCAAGTCCATTTTCTACGTCTGCGTCTTTCTTCCTATCCTGCCCCTAGGTTCTTCAGAACCATTTTTTAGATTCCATATATATGTGTTAGCATATGGTATTTGTTTTTCTCTTTCTGACTTACTTCACTCTGTATGACAGACTCTAGGTCCATCCACCTCACTACAAATAACTCAATTTCTAAACCTACTTACATTTTTCAGAAAAGAAGCTACTGCCTATCGTTTAAAAGATAAAGTTAAAATTTTTGTAATCACCAAGGAAGCAAATAATATCCCCAAAAGGATTTAATAAAAAATATTAAATGGACTTTTTATGGATGAATGAACAAGGAAAGGATAATTCATAAATAATTAAAAGCCATTTCTTCCTTTTGAGGACCTAGGAGTTTCTTCACTTTCTTGATTAGTCCTGTTAGTATGTAGTTGGTATGAACTGGGTATTATAATCAACAGTGTGGAACCTGTCTACTATCTGGAATGATTGAAGAGAAAGGAATCATTATCAGGAAAACAAATTTTCTGGTCTGACTCAGTGCTCTACATAACAAGTACATAAGAGTAGATGGATTGAATTAAGACTATTTTACTGTCATGGTCTATACTAAACAGTATGGGTAAGCATATACAAGGACTTGTTTTGATTTTTTTCATTTACAAAGCTTTCTTTCAACATTATACAAATTTAATAAAGTTCAGACAGTCCCCTCTGTTCATTTCAGTGATCAGGTAATCTGATGGATGCCTGGAATGAATGACCTTTTTAGCTTTAGTACAGTTAGTGGGACCCTTGTTACTTGCTGAGGGAATGAATTTTAAATGTTAGTAAGTCATGGGTTATCTCAATAAAGCATACCAAGTAGAATCTCTTTATCAGGAGAAAAAGACTTACATTACCAATTCAAAGCTGCAGTCGCTTCAGCCTTGTAGAATCTGTTTCTTCAGCTCTAAAATAGGGCTTATAGAGCTTTCACAGAAAGGTGGTTAGGATTATATATGTACAGAGGTTAGAAAATATGTGTAAGAGAGCTTTGTAAATTTTGAAGTCCTATACAAAAGAAAGTTACTAAGGTAACATTCGTGAATTCTGATAGGAGATACAATAAAGACAGTTCTTCAACAAAGTTTACGAACACCTTCTCAGCCTCATAGCTATCATTTCCATATGCGAAAGCTATCCGATATCATTTTAGGAATCCAAATAACCATTTAGTCCAGGCTCCTGATTTCATAGGTGCAGAAAGGGAAGCCCAGGAGAGGCATGTGACTTCCCCAAGGCTGCAGGGTAAGGTCGGGGCCGGTTCTCAGGCCCTTGACTGCATCATTCATACACTTCTCTCCACCTTCACTGGTAGCTGCAGCCTCTGGTTTATCATCTTGCTGCACTCACCCACAGCACTGCCCTGACTAACTTCCCCTTGTTGTCCCATGGTGGCCTCATAGCTCCTCTGCTTCTTTTTTACTCCAGTGACCGTTCCTGCCACTCCGGCTGTTTTGCCTCCTGGAACCCAGACTCTAGCCTTTCCGATTTTGAATGTACCCCCTTGTTACACGCCTCCCACATCGTCTCTCTCACCCTTGTGTAATCTCCAGGCCTTCAGTCTCCCTATTATTTTAGGCTCTCAGCTCCCTTCCGATGTCTCTTGTCTGCAGCCCATGGTCACTCATTTTGGTAAGACCTTTGGCACCATACTTCCATGCCTTTTGTCTTGCTCACTTTGACAACTCCCACCCTTGGCATCTTCCCAGTGGGTGATTTCATGCACTAACTTACTGAGTTACTGAAGATTGCAGTACCCCTGCTGCTCCTAGCCTTGAACTTTACCCCGAACCACAGCGCTGCTCCACACAATTGCGTGTGACACCCAGTATGGCTGGAGTGCCCTTGCCCTCTGGTTTGATAACTCCTCATTCTTTAAGACCTTGTGCAAGCACCACCACCTCTAGTAAGCATCTCCTTGTGCTGCTGGACAAAGTGGGAGGTGCCTCCTTTGTTTTCCTGTAATTCTTTGTGCAGATCTCTGTTACTGATGAGTTGTAATTTTAATTTTAATTGAAATAATAATTTCAGTTATAATTTGCAATTTTCAATTGCATCTATCTTTCTCACTAGACTTTGAGCTCCTAGAGGATGGAGGCATGCCTTATCAAAAGATGGAGACTTTTGTCTCCAAGTGTCCAGCACAGGGTCACTAAACACACAGAAACTGCTTTGGCCTTATCATGATCCCCATGACTTACAGATCCTCTTCCATCCTTTTGCCTCTAGAGGTTTCAATATCCTGCCCTCAGCATGTTTACATCCTTACTTCACACTGATTTCTTATCATTTACTCTCCTACCTTTGTCTTCCTAACTGTGCTGAAACTGCTCTAGTGACATCTTAAATACCCAATCTGATGCCACTGACTTGGTCCTCAAACTCCTTTCCTTCTCTGAATAATTGGCATTATTTTAACAAATAACTTTTGTTAAAATAACTTAAATAACTTCTGTTCTTTTAACAAAGAACTTCTTAGAATTCTTTTTCTGTGTGGTTTCCTAACTCTTTGAGGCGCATTTTATTTTCTACTTTGGAAATTTTTATTTCTTCCAGTAAACCTCTTATTATTTTTTCCCCTTTATTTGGTACCTTAGGTAGATAGGTAATATTTTACAGTACATTCTATTCCAAACCCAAATTTCTTATTTTTTATATGTTAAAAGGTTTTTTTTTAAAGTTGATGATTTGAGGTGATGATTTACTGATTTTTTTTGTGTGTATTTGTATTCATTCTTTTCCCAATGGTCTTCATTTTAATTATATGAATTAAAATGGAAAATTATCCATTACACATTTACTTAGATTAAAAACCCAAAATCAGAAACCACTACCACCAGCAAAAACCCTGTTTCTCATTTTAAACTATACTTTAAAAAATGCAAGTATTAAGAGTTATACAGTAATAGGTAGTAGTTTGCTATTTCTGGTCAAGAGTTACCATAATAAGGGAATCAGTCAAAGGAAGAAGATTTAATGAAGTGAGGACAGTTTGCAAAACTGTGTATGTTATTTAATTTAAAATGTCATCAGTGATTGATAGGCTAGACCCATTACTGTAATCTTATACTTCAAAGAATCCATAAACTCCTGAAATTATATATAAAATTTTGTATGTATTTACATTTTTCTTCTGAGAGGATTCATAACTTTTTAATAGGTTCTCAAAGGGATTTTTGGCACAGACAATGCTAAGAACACTGGGCTGGAATATATGAGCTTCTAAAAGAGAAGACTGTAGTAATTAAAGACAAGGTAGTGGTATTTTGAAAAGCAGAGTACCTTTTTCAAAGTTAATCAGTTAAGAAAATCTTTCAATTACTGACTCAATAATTTGACAGTATTATAAACATAATATGATTGAACTGGCTTTTTCTAAAATAATCAACACAGTTTTAACTGTTGATTTCACTTTTCCTCTGAGAAAAATAAAACCCCAGCCTGCGGGAAAAAAGAGTGTCTCTGAAAAAAGGGGACGTTTTCTAGGGCAGTGATTTTTTTTTTTTTAATACCTGCTCTTATGAATCAACAGGACAATCACAGTAATCTTGGGGACAATTTAGAAAGATTTAAAAGAATATTGCCAGAAAGGTAATTTTAAATGTACAAAACATCCCACATGGCCCTTTCAGGGTAAAAGCAAAAAGGGGAGGGGGGCATGGTGAAATGGATGATTATATTAAAGCACTGAAAGTACCTGGCAGATGGTAGGGCTCAGGGAATGTCCTTGTTGCTGAATGAATCAGTGCAGTAATCCTATCTGGTAACCAGGTACCTGCCACGGTATCAGGTGGTTGTACACAAGCACTCTTTTGATACAGTGATCAGACCACCCTCTTATTATAACTACAAAAACATGTTGAAGATTTCTTCATGAGGTTATCTTCTGTTGCAGGTTCATGGGCTTTTGGGGGAAGAAGAGCAAGCTACATTCCGGAGAGTGTTCATGTAGTTTAAAGAGGTTTCAGGGGTGCTAAAAGTGTTAATTCCCACAGGAGTGAGCTTACCTAGAGTTTGCAAGGCCTGGAGCCCTTATGCCCATTCAGAAGCCTCAGGCAAGAAAACCCCCTTTTATAGAGAATCCCCAAATACCTTCAACTATATTATCAGCCTGATCGATTAACCTTTATGAGCAACTTTTCTTGATGTTTTGACTTCTACTTTGATCAAAGGTGCCATTTCATTAAATGAAACATACTGGGTTTGAAACAAAATGGACCATAAAGAGACACCGTTTTCTTTTTAAATAAACTATTCGATCTGTTTTATTTTAGCTTTAAATAAAAACATAAACCGTATTTTGTTTTGTACAGCCAAAGAAAATTTTCAAGAATATCCCTTTCCTGGGGAAGTTGGAGGTAAAACATGTAGAGGTCATGGCTGCTCACAGGAAGACCTGTTCTTTTTATCGCTTTTGCAATGGAATGACCACTGATTGCTATGGAGACGCTGATTGCTGCGGCCATTACTGGGCTAGCCTAGTCACTGTAAGAGAATGATGCCTTGGTCACCATGGTCCCTGTGCTGTAATCTACTTAATCTGACCACCATCATTGGCAGAGCTTGCTTGTTTAGGGAAGTGCATGGGCTCAGTTTGTTTTTTATTAAAGGGCATATAATCCAGGCTGCACTAATGTCTTCCTTAGCTTAATCAGGCCGAATGACACAGCTTAAACATCCCATTCTAACCACTCGACTTGAAGATTTTACTTTTAAGCATGGCAAACAACTTTACCGAATGGCTGCCCCCCAAATCTGTTTTTTTAAAATTGGCCATTAACTCTTTTGCTTTTTGGCTTTGAGCTTAATTGCATCACCTTTTAATTTTGAATGGTTAAGTAGTTTGTGGTCTCCTGACCTAAACTGAACAAGTGCATGATTTGTGTCTGTCACCATAACTCAAGGATAGCCTGGGGTATTTGTGATTTGTGTAGCATGTCATCATTTTCTCTCTCTGTCTGAGTTGCCGTGGCTTGTTTTTCACCAGGAGTGATCCCATTAGAATGCAACTTTTCACATAGCTTTCCTTTCTGAGATAGAAAATGTCTGTCTGGGGTCAATATCCTCATCTTAGTTTGTATTTTTCTAATATGGCAGTCATTGTACTTGGGTTTACAAGTACCATCAAACATTTATATGCTATATTACACACTTGTCATGATTTACGTAAGAGTGGTGGAACTTTAATTCTCACTCAGGTAAGCAGTACAGGTCTGGAAATTTCCATAGGTTTGCTTATGTTAATTGATAGATATTCATTACTAAATCCCATCTTTTAGTTACTATGTTTTTACCTTGTTAAGTGAAACAATTATTGTACCTGTAATTAAGATCATTCCATTGGACCTTGCTGTGCTGTGAATGCCTCCCTAGGTAGTTATTCTCTTCCATTTGTAATAAGCCTTGGCTAATATTTTCCCCTGGTTTAGCATCAAATATTCATTAGACTTTGAGCACTTAGAAGGCTAGAGACTGGGGTTCTGCTTCCCTTGTTACCATGTTGCTCAGCACTGTGCTTGACACACAACAGGTGCTCAATTCATGCTGATTGGATCATTAGAACTTTCTTCAGCTGCAGTATCCCAGCACTCAGATTCAGCAAACTGATTGCCTATGGGCTGCTTTCAGTCCACAGACATGGTTTTTTTGGCATGAATGCTGTTTAAAAATTTTGAATTTATGGTCAACATCTGTAATTTATGAAAATTTTCATTAAATTTTAGATTTCTGGCTTCTTTTATATATTGCGGTATCTTATTTGGGCCCAGATTCCTGCATGAGAGCTAGGTCTGCATTGGGTAGGGCATGCTTTTCTAGTTTCCCAGCTGACCCACTTTAAATTCTTGGCCCCTGAGGGCATCTGAATTTGGAACCTCTGGAATAACACCATTATTTATTTATTTATTTATTTATTTAGTTTTGGCTGAGTTGGGTCTTCGTTGCTGTGCGTGGGCTTCCTCTAGTTGCGGCGAGCGGGGGTTACTCTTCGTTGCGGTGCGCCGGCTTCTTATTGTCGTGGCTTCCCTTGTTGCGGAGCATGGGCTCTAGGCACGTGGGCTTCAGTAGTTGTGGCTCGCAGGCTCTAGAACGCAGGCTCAGTAGTTGTGGAGCATGGGCTTAGTTGCTCTGCAGCATGTGGGATCTTCCTGGACCAGGGCTCAAACCCGTGTCTCCTGCATTGGCAGGCGGATTCTCAATCACTGCACCAGCAGGGAAGCCCTGGAATAACACCATTTAAAGCAGCTTAGTTACTGAAACATTAAAGAAACTTTTTCCTTAAGTGTTATCAGCTGGAATGCAAGAATTTACAAATTGTAATAAAGTTTTCTGAGGAATCTGGGGAAATATGTTTTCTATAACATGCCTTTAAAAGTCACATGGCATGATTTGGAGTTCCTAAAAGAATTTAAGTGTCTTTTGGGGCTACTTGACCAGATGGACGGTATTTTAGGATCCATATAGAGCATTTCCAGGAATGGGGCCTTTTCCCACATTTTCATGCACTCTTTTCCAAAATTTAGCAATATCTTAGCACAGTGGATTTCAGTGTGTGGTCCCTGGACCAGCAGCATCAGTATTAATTACCAAGGAATTGTTAGAAATGCATATTCTCTGGCCCTTCCCTGCTGAATCAGAAACTCTAGGGGTGGGGCCCAGCAATCTGTGGTTTAATAAGCTCTCTAGGTGACTCTGAATCAGTCTGTTAAGAGGATGAAATACAATATGGTAATATAATAAAATATAATTTAGATTGAAATTTAGTTTGTTTTTTATTTCTGAAAAGTTTTAAAATTATTGACCAATTCAACCTGAGAATTATTTAAATTTTGAACTGTGAAACTTGTTATGGCCTTATAATTGAGAATTAAGGTTTACACAAGTTATCAAGCTCAGTGAGAGAGTTCTGGATTCCTCCCATCTACCACACTTGTGGAGAGCACTCAACTCTCTCATCTGGCCTGGGAGCTATTGGCCAAGTGTGTTAAGCCAGGCCCTCCATGGCTCCAGGCTTATGTTCTCTTGGTAAAAGAGAGACACAGCATGCTCATTATACTTCAGCCTTGCCCAGGACCTCTGGTTTGGGAGTCACTCTGTGTCTGGTCAAACTGGACGCCTTTGGCACTGTCCTACTGCTTTGAGAAATAATGGCATGTAGCAAGTGACTAATAAATATTACTGTTGTTGTTGTTATTATAGAGGGCTGGCTGTGTCCACTTAGGTTAAGAAGATTCACAAAGCTGTATACTCCAGTTTCCACATAGAAATCTACAGTATAGTGTGGATAGTGGCTGCATGTTATAATTTGCAATGGGTCATGTGCAGCCTTGCTGCAGAGCAGACAAATAGTCCAGAGGTCTTAGTGTTCCTTCTGTGACATCCTCCTCTTTATATTTAAGACTATATTCATTTGTTTTACCAATTTCTATCTTTACTTTGCTATTGTGCACAGTGTTTTTGTAATCTCTAAGCTTTTCATGTAAAGCAGAAAGAATCTGTATTAGAGCAAGGAGCTCACTAAAAGCCAGAGGTGATGGTATGGTTTAGCAAGTAATCTCCATGAAGGGTGTGGCCGGTACACTGGACTGTAGGGGTGGCAGCCAGGTAAGGAAGAGGCAACTGTCCAGTTTGGAGGCATGAAATTCTCCTGATATTACAGCAGAACTTGAAAAAATATCTTCGGGGCTCATTTATAAAATAGAGTCCTATTGTCTGCAGGACTTTCTTTTCTTGCATGGTAAAGTTCTTCCATATGAAAGATCTCAAAGGACGAGCCAAATGTTCCTCTAAAGGCACTTTAGTCATCAGTGTGCTTTGATATGTAATAGGTAGTTTTGGTTTTTAAGATAAGGACATGTTTAATATTTGGAAGGAGAAAACGTTAAAGAGGTTGTGTAGATCAACTCAATCATATAAAGCACCACCTGAACGATTGGCAAAATGTTTTGTTATCCCTGAAATTTTTCATCCTAGTACCAGAATATCTCCTCTGTTGAACAGCGTTACTGCTGCAAGACTGGGATATGCTGACCCATAAGAGGAAGGCCTGGCTGTGACAGGGAGGGAAATTAGGACAAGGCTTGTAATATATAAGATTTTTCTCTGTTATCCTTCACTTTGAATTAGTTTTGATTCCTTGAGTGAGAACTCACCTCTCTGTGATCTGACCTAGGAGATATTGGCCAAGCTTCACTAAACAGAAGATCATTTCTTGACTTGCAGTGCTGAGAAAAACACTTGAATTCCAAAATATCTAACCCTAAGCAAGGTAAATGCTAGGAGTTTTAAAAGCTTTCCTGAAAGTCAGATACAGAACTCTCATTTTAAAAAGTCAGTTATTGTAATGTACAGCATGGTGACTACAGTTAATAACACTGTATTGCATGTGTGAAAGCTGCTGAGAGAGTAAGTCCTGAAATTTCTCATCACAAGAAAAAAAATTTTGTTAGTAGGTAGGGTGACAGATGTTTTAAAAAAAGTCAATTATGTTTGCATCCTGTAGGCAGCTTCCAACAGGAGGTATTCCATTTTATTTTATTTTATTTTTTAATTTATTTAATTTATTATTTTTATTTTTGTCTGTGTTGGGTCTTTGTTGCTGCGCATGGGCTTTCTCTAGTTTTGGCGAGTGGGGGCTGCTCTTGGTTGCGGTGCGCGGGCTTCTCATTGTGGTGGCTTCTCTTTTTGTGGAGCACGGGCTCTAGGCGCACAGGCTTCAGTAGTTGTGGCTCGCGGACTCTAGAGCACAGGCTCAGTAGTTGTGGCGCACGGGCTTTGTTGCTCCGCGGCATGTGGGATCTTCCTGGACCAGGGCTCGAACCCGTGTCCCCTACATTGGCAGGCGGATGCTTAACCACTACGCCACCAGGGAAGTCCAGGTATTTTAAAATAGTTAAAATTTCTAGGTAGATTTTGTGAAGAATATTCTTTATCTGATATAATTTCTGAAAGCTTGTAAAGGTAAAAAAAATTCTTCCCTTAAAATTTTAATTTGTATTATGTTTACTTTAAAAAATGTATAAGTATACAGTGAAAAGAAAATTTCCTTCAGAATTCTGTCCCCATGGTTCCCATTGTAGGATGGTTCTCTGCATTCCGTATACTTTAGAATTAGAGAGAAAAACAAAAAAGAAGCAAACACAAAAAGTTCAAAAACAATCCAACAGTAAAGACCATTGGCGATGAAGAAACAGCCATAGGAGTTTGTCACTGTTGGTGAGTAAATTTGTAAAATAAATTTAATTCCACATTATTTAATGATGAGAGTAGCTTGTTACGAAACCTAAACTCTTAGTAGGAAAGGGCATCGAAACAGATAATTTAAACTTCCTCAGAGGTGTGTTAGGGATCCAGGAAATGAAAATAGTGAGAGGCTGAGAGCCAGAAGAGCTGAGTCCTTGTGTTCCATCTGACTCATGTTAACGGGGTCATGGCCTCTGTAAGGCAGTCTTTAGGTAGTGTAGGATTTAGAGACAGTAGAAGAAGCTTAGGTCTTAAGAGCCTTGATTCTTCTTTCAATAAATCAAACATAACTTATTGATGGAGATAAATCACTGGCAAAAACAAACAAATGAGAAATGTCCAGCAGGTAACAATTCCAAATTGAGAAAGTAAGTAGACAAGTGTCAACACCACTGATAGTGACCTTGAAGTCTTTAGATAACTTGTGTGCTTTAACTCCACTGACCTGAATTCAATAAAATGTACTCTTTAAAAAAAAATTTATTATTATTGTTTTTAAATGTACTCTTTTAAACTTTATATCATAGGGGTATTTTAGTAAGCTTGTCTGGAAATAAGGACTTTGGTAATAAGAGACCAAACCTCAAGGAGGTTTGAGGCAAACACTTATTTTTCAAAGTTCAATTTAAAAGAGCAGTGCTGGACTTCCCTGGTGGCGCAGTGGTTAAGAATCCGCCTGCCAATGCAGGGGACGCAGGTTTGAGCCCATGTCTGGGAAGATCTCACATGCTGCAGAGCACCTAACCCTGTGTGCCACAACTACTGAGCCTGTGCCTTAGAGCCCACGAGCCACAACTACGGAGCCTGCATGCCACAGCTACTGAAGCCTGCGCGCCTAGAGCCCGTGCTCCGCAACAAGAGAAGCCACCACAGTGAGAAGCCCGCGCACCTCAACTAGAGAAAGCCCGTGTGCAGCAGTGAAGACCCAATACAGCCAAAGATAAATAAATAAATTTAAAAAAAAATAAAAGAGCAGTGCCATTTTCAGAACATGATTCTTGGTTATCAAAGAAATGCCTGACTTGGGACGGTGAGGGTTTCTAGGCTTACAGCCATGATGCATAGAACTATGTTTTCTGTGGTTACACATTAAAGCCAGAATGTTGCTGTTTCATCTTAGAATGGACTTCAGAGTTTTAGAAGAGCTTCTTTTCCTTGTAGAAAACAGCAGGGTAAAGAAAGGTATATAGTTGAGTTCTTACATTTTTAAGGGGGCTCTAAAAGCAGATATTCTGTGGGTTGTGGTTAGTGTGTAGAGTATAAAAAGCTGCCTTTCTAGTCGGTATGAATTTATAGATAAATATGAAAATGTACTTATGTGTCTGTATTTTGAAAACCATTTGTTTTGAAATATGAGGAAAACCATATAACTGTTTTGAAATATGAGGAAATGGAGTGGATTTCATTGAGTTGTATCATGTTCTCATTGTCTTATGTTTGAACTTTTACTAATAATTTGATTTCATTTTAACAGATCTTTTTGTTTTTACCTTCTTTTCATGTTTAGCATGTGTACAATATACTATGTCGCTTATTTTGGATTTAGTTGAGCATGCAGCATATTGCCTGGCGTATAGCAGCTGGTGCTTAATAACTGTTCATTTGAGTCCATGAATTTAATATATGGCTATTGTATTAAGATGTTTGCTGACATAATCCTTTTGATGGTTCATTTTTTTCCATTAACCATTTATTTTCAGGTAATTAAAAGGAGATTTTTTAATAGAACATTATAAAAAGAAAATATTAATATTGGTGCTCTGGTTAATATAGACATTTAAAAATATTTAGAGAGGAAAATAGATTGGTTGACACATTTAAAAACAAATGGCATAATATGAAAAGCATAGATAAATTTTCTGGGAGTGGGTGTGGTGTGTTAGGGAATGAAAAAGGATGAATAGACTTTACATATAAGATCAAGAGTAAATCTTCAAAAATGATTCCTGCTATAATAAAGATGCCAATAATTTATCTCCCATTGTATCAGTCTCCTTTCTTGGAGAGAAATATATTTGGTATGTGCTAATTCTTACATTATGGTTGAGCTGTAAAAAGTATGAGCTAGTATCCCTCCATCCCGTACAACTTATGTATGAATGCCATAGAAATTGAAGTCGAAAGTTGTTAAATTTCACTGATTGTGAATTGTCTCTGTGGTTACATGAACTCTTTTTATTCCCTCTTTCTAGTCATACAGTTTATCACGAAAGAAAATTGTGCACTACACCTGTTTTGACCAACGGAAAAGAGCAAATGCAGCATTTTTGATAGGTGCTTATGCCGTAAGTACTTTTTTCATGATTGTTTTCTATAATCAGGCCAATGGAATGCTAACACTGCCATATAAAATCCAGGCCACTTTTTCAGTGGAATTGGGAGATGGTGAAGATTATTAGCAGCTTAGGAATTGATCTGGAATGGAAAGTGTGGACCAGTATTGATCATCTGTTTACTCTTGGATCTTATTTTCCATTAGCTAATGAGAGAATCTTGGGACTGCAATGTGTAGCTTGTATTCCACAGTTGTATAGGTGTTTTTAATAAAAAGAATACCCAGAAAGGATATTTACAGGAAACAAATATATAGTGGAAGATTATTAAAGACTTAATGGTTTCCTTTTTTTGGGGATAAGAGGAAATCCTTGATTGCATGGGGGAGGATCATTATTATTATTATTATCAGTCCATTTATTTATACAAGTGTTTGCAGTAAGCAAACTGATATAAATCCTGCTTATATTGCAACTTCCCTAATGACTAGACATGACTTTTCAAAAATAATTTTGATTAGAAATTTTGTTCTCTGTAGGCACTAAAATGTAAATGTGAGTTCCCCATGAATATGCTACACAATTTTTTTTTTTTTTTAACTTTTTTTTTCTTCTGTGGTACGCAGGCCTCTCACTGTTGCGGCCTCTCCCATTGCAGAGCACAGGCCCCGGATGTGCAGGCTCACGGGCCATGGCCCACGGGCCCAGCCGCTCCGCGGCATGCGGGATCCTCCCGGACCGGGGCACGAACCCTTGTCCCCTGCATCGGCAGGCGGACTCTCAACCACTGTGCCACCAGGGAAGCCCATGTGCTACACAATTTTGTTGTGAATACTTCTAGAATTTTCTATATATACTGGGATTGGGCAGGCAGGGGAGAGAGGTGTCCTTTTCCCTCTCATCCTTCAGGAAGGTCGGTGTTTCTCTAAAGCCTGGAAGCTCACTGCTGCATGACCTTTCAGCGGCTTCCTTCTGAAGACCTTGATGGAAGGAGGCACCAGCTACTAGACATCAAACTCTGCCACATCAACCCAAAAGCTTTGGGGGAAAAAGCCCAGCTGTGCTGTTGAAAAGACTGTCAGCTGTTGCAGGGTGTAGGCTGCGGATAGGGGCAGGCTGACAGCCAGACCGCAGCCTGGAGCCTTTTTTCCAGAACTGAGATGCCCAGCTCTGTCCACCTTTTCTCATCAGGATGTGGCTACAGTGAAGCCTTGGGCCATCCCTTGTGGTACTTTTCTTTCCTGCTCCGTAGACAGCATGCTATAGTATTTGGAATCATGACTAAGAATCAGAAGCACAGTTTTTCATCCTAAAGTGGCTCTAGGATGAGGGGTAAGCCACTTTATCTTTCTTAGCTTTACTTAGTTTCCTTATCTGTAAAATGAGAGGGTTGGATATAATGACCTCTAAGTTTCCTTCCAATTCTGAGGATACTAGGATTATTTGTAGCGCCAGCCAGGCTCTTGCTTGTATTTTAAGAGCATGCATGAAAAGCTGGCTGTTGGCATGAAGGTTCAGTGAAGTGCTGGTTTAAGCTGAATTAAGCAGGCATGCTTATTTTTCACTTTGATAATTACTATTTATTTGAAACTGATAATTGACACCGTGTTTAAATTATGGAGAGTCTGTAATAACCTCTGGATTCAAGCCACGTAAACAAGCCTGTCTTCCTGAGGGGTTTTGTGATGTTTTTGAGCATGTTATTCGTGAGTCCTTTGTCACAGGGATTGCCCTCAGGAAGAGGTCATTTGCTACTCGCTCCTTCCCCCCTCTTCCCCTCCTTCACCCCTTCTTTCTTTTATTTTCTTTCTTAATGCCCGTCCTTCCTGTTTTTAGTGTCTTCCTTAATTTCAGCATGGCACCTTTGGAATTTTGAATGGAAGTTTAGTTCTAATAGATGCGTTGAGCTTGGGGATAAAATATATCTTCTAATGCAGAAGTTTCCACCACTTTAAAGCAGCCAAATGAAAGAAAAGCAGTCTAAGGAAATGCTGAGGGCAGCATGAGCTTGTCTTAAATGCTGATTGCGGTCCTGAGAGGCAGTGTAATTATTATTTTACTAGTCATTTCCCAGTTGATTTTCTTTTCTAATTTTAGAAATGTGTTCCCCAGAGAGCTTTTTGACACAACCCTTAAAAAATATGAGAACCAGGAATTGTAAACTTTCCTTAAAGAAAATTTTGTACCTTACTTTGTATTATATGTATGCATTTAATAGTTGACTCAAGTATTTTAAGAAGACAGTAATGGCATTATACATACATTTCAGCTAAGATTCATATGTATTACATATTGCTATTTGGGTAAGTCATAATCTCCTGGGGGAATCTTCTTGGACACAAAAGACTTTTACTTTTGGAGTAGCCGTGTAGCCAAACGGGGTGAGCTATGTACATGTGTATTTTTCAGAATCCCCAGCTGTGAAGGTGTTCCTCTTTTTAATATGTGGTATCAGCCCTCTATCAAGGGGCACTGACGACTAATTTGTACTAAGACAAGCCTTTTTCCCTGAGCCTTATTCTTCTCATTTGTAAAATTTGGTTAATACCAGGGTTTTCTGGTCTACTTCACAGGATTATTATCAAGGTCAAATATCTAACTGCCTGTCTGATAGCACCACATAATATATCTAAATGATGTCACATTTACTGTGGCAGAAGTTTTTATTCCTTCTCTCCACAAACCTATTTATTCCCCTACTCATTGCCTTTTTAGTAAATGAGCTCCCATCAGCAACTTACTGAATCAAAGGATAGTAGTCATTTTGATTCCTGTTGTTTCCTCTTCCCACATTATACTCATCAGTAATTTCTAACTCTAAAACACATACTGAGCCAGAATACTTCTTTCCCTCTCTGTTGCTGTCACCTAGTCCAAGCCACTGTCACCGTTCACCTGGATGCCCACCACAGCTTCATACATTGTCTCCTTTTCACACCCTTGCTTCCCTTTAATCCAGTTGCTACACAATTGTCATGTTTTAAAACTATAAATTAGATCATTGCCCCTTTCAAATCTGTCTAATGATCGCTCGCTCTTCTTGGCATGAAATTCAGCCTCCTTACCAATGCCATGAAGGTCCTCCCTGATCTGGCCCTTTCTCCCTCTGTGATCACCTTACTCAAGATGCTCCCATCACACTGGCCTTCTAGCCGTGGAATCGCAAGTGTGCTCCTGCCGGAAGGCCTTGATATTTCTGTTCTCTTTCTCTCACCTCAGGTTTTTACCTCAGACCCTTGCATTGCTTCTTCCTTCTGATCTGATGTCACCTCCTCAGAGAGACTTTCTCTTGACTTACCTTGCTTCCTCCACCTCCAGTCACCCTCTAGCCCTTTGCTGTTTTAGTCATTATTTTGTAGTACTCTACTACTTGAAATTATCTGGTTCATTTGTGTATTTACTTGTTTATTATTTCTTTCCTAGACTAGAGGGTAGGGACCTTGTCAGTTTTGTTCATTGCTGTGTCTAGGAGGTGATAAACTATTTAATCAGGGGTTAGGCCCAAGCATTCACCAGTTGAACTGGAAACTGGCCACAGTGGGGCCTTTCTGCTGTGCTGAATCATGGGAAAGTCCAGGGTCGGGGGCAGGGCCTCAGGGAAGAGACGAGGTGGCCAGCCTGGAGGGGACTGGAGGATTTACCAACTGGAATGGAACTATTTCGGTACTTGAACACTGAGCATCAGTTTAGAACGGTGCCTGGCCTATGGTAGATGCTCCATAAATATCTACTGAATGAATGAATAATGGAATGGTAAAATATGAAAGAAAGAAGGAAGGTGACTTTCTTTGGGTAACTTCAGAGAGAAACTGAAAATGATCAAATTGGATCAAATTGGACATAAAGTTTAAAGTCATGTCTTCCTCATTACTGGAAATATTTGCAGTAATGATTGAGCCAACCATTTTTTTCTTTTTAATTTATTTATTAAAAAAAAATTTTTGGCTGCGTTGGGTCTTCCTTGCTGCACAAGGGCTTTCTCTAGTTGTGGTGAGTGGGGGCTACTCTTCGTTGCGATGTGCGGGCTTCTCATTGCAGTGGCTTCTCTTTGTTGTGGAGCACGGGCTCTAGGCGTGCGGGCTTCAGTAGTTGTGGCACTTGGGCTCCGTAGTTGTGGCTTGCGGGCTGTAGAATGCAGGCTCAGTAGTTGTGGTACAGGGGCTTAGTTGCTCCGCGGCATGTGGGATCTTCCCAGACCAGTGCTCGAACCCGTGTCCCCTGCATTGGCAGGTGGATTCTTAACCACTGTACCACCAGGGAAGTCCCTCAACCATGATCTTTAAAGATGCAGAATCAAAGCAAAGGTTATAGACCAAGGACAGTACCTGTATACAAAGTCACATCACTATCTTGCTTCTTTTTTTTTTTCTTTTTTGATAAACTTTGTTTTCAATTATTTTTATTATGGTAAAATACTATGTGTAAAATTTACTATATTAATAATGTTTTCTTTGTTTTTTATTATTTTTTATTGAGGTATAACTGACATAACATATTAGTTTCAGAGGTACAACAAAATGATTCAATATCTGCAGATAATTGCAAAATGGCACTGCAACCAATCCAGTGAACATCTGCCACTATAGTTACCAAAAATCTGTTTTTCTTCGATGAATCTTAAGCATTTTTAAGGGTATAGTTCAGTAGTATTAGGTACGTTCATATTGTTGTACAGCTATCATCCCTTGCTTTTGAGTGTGACATCTTGTGCAGACATTATGTACCTACAGAGTCAGGGCTTTGCCTGTGGTTTCTCTGTTAGATCATGACTTTAAGTATGTCACAGAAGCTTTTGTGTTTCTATTTCCTTATCTGTAAGTGAGGGAGAGCCTTTCTATGTTTTATCTCCTAGAGGTGTCATGAGTATCAAAAAGGAGATAAAATACAGAACATCATGTTCAGTAGGAAATCCACAAACCCTTCTCTGTGGGTGATCTGAAAGCCAGAGTTGCTGGAATGATGTGGCCACTGGAGATCACAGTGACGCTCAGCAGATGACAGGCACCCATTTC